TTATATTTGATCTCTTTCTCTTTCCACATGTATGCTCTCTTTCTCTCTCTCTCACACACAAACCATACAGACATCCCTTCACTAGGAACCATTTGAAATTAAGTTGCAGATATTGTAGTTTACCAGCCTTTCTCCAAGAGCTGTATTATCCCTGAAAGGCTGTTTATGAAGATCTGAATATTAGGACTGTTCACTGCTACTGAGTGTAAGGAATGGTCACCGAGTGTTACTTATAGACCTTTTCAGCCAACAGAGCTAGAGAATTAGATACTATCTTTAATCTCAGGGTGGTTCATACATTGTTCAAAAGTCAAAACTATATAATATGGAAGTCTTATTTCCATTCCTATCTCTACTACTTATTGGCCACTTAAAAAATAGTTTCTGGTTTAATTTTCCTGTATTTCCATTTACAAAAATAAGCAGAGAGCGATGTTGATATACACTAATTTTTTCATCCTTTCTTACATAGGCTTGTGGACTTAGCCTTTCTTTTTTTTTTTAACTTAAAAATGGATCATAGAAATTACTTCAAATTATATCATAGAGCACTTCCTTATTGGTATAAGTGCTTTATTGTGGGGCTGTGTCATAATTCATTCAACTGGATTAAAGGATGGAAATTTAGGTTGTTTCTAAAAGTTTGATATTACAAATAATATCAGAGTGAATAACCTAGTGCAAACATTTGCTTTATGTTTGTGGAGGAATCCTTAGGGTAAATTTCTGGAAGCTGAATTGCCTGTGTAAATGCATATGTGCTTCATGGGATGTTACTGAATTCCCCTCACCTGAATCGTAACATTTCCTACTCCCTCTATCAGTAAATGATATACCTGTGTTTTATAGCCTCAAACTTGCGTTTTCAATATTTTTAATCTGTGCCAATCTGATAAGTGAGAAAAAGTATTGCTTGTTTAATAGCATTTTCCTTTTGAGTGAAGTTAAACATCTTTTCATACATTTAAGGGCCATTTTGTTTGTTTTTCTGTGAACTAAACGTATCTCTTGCCTTTTTTAAAACTGGACTTGAGTATTTTTTTCCTCCTCTCAATGTTAAGGGCTCCTTACGTTTTATAGAAAATAGTTCTCTATTTGTGATATAAATTGCGAAATTTCTCCTAGTTTGTAATTTGTATTTTGACCCTAAATATAGTCTTTTGCTATTGAGAAATCACACATATGCACACATATGTATTTTATTTATCAAACAATTTTTTTTCTTTTCTCACTTCTAAATTTCAAAAGACTTTTCTTATGTCCAGGTTATAAAGGAAACAACCAATGTTTTCTTCTAGAATTTGTATCACTTATTTTCTTTTTCAAAGGCTTTATTTATTTATTTATATCTTGGATCAATTTGGAGTTTATTTTTGTATAGGTGTGAAGTATGAGTTTAATTTTACTTTTTTTCAAATTGCTATCCATTTGTCTCGCTGCCATTTATTTAAAATTCCATCTTTACCCCAGTGACTTGAGATGCCACTTTGATCTTATCTTAAACTTTCCTATGTCCTTGTTATTTCTGGACCTTCCCCCGCCCCCCCTCGACTCATTGTTCCTGTACCATTACTACACTTTATGTAAGCTTTATAGTATGTTTTAATATTTGTGGGGTTAAGCAACCTTTAAACTGTTTTTCCCCCCAAAATTTGTATTGCTATTTTTCTAAATTTATTTACTATCTCTAGTCCCAGGAATCTGCTGAAAGGAAATGTTCCAAAATGCAGCAAAAATTGTAATGAAACAAATAGAAACAATTCAAGTGCGCTCTTCAGGAAATAATCTAGAATTAAAATCTGACACCTAGTGTTCGCTGCCGAAACTGCATATTACTAACAAAACATCTGAAAGTCCTATCATATTAAAAGCAATGCATTCTAACAGTGTTTAAAACCTACAGCATATTTTGCCTTGGAAACACATAGATCTGTTAGAGGGAGGAAAAGCGTCACATAAATTAGTGAGAAGAATACCCAGATGTTAGCTATTCTTGTTTGTAACTTTTTAAATCACAAGAGCCAGAATGAGGGGTAGTAAACAGAAGTTCACTCAGGAAGTGAACAAAATTGGATCGGGGCTGGGAACACACATACCACCAGCACTGCTGAGGTTAGAGGGGCTCAGAAAACAAGAGGAGAGGCTGGGGGTGGCTACCTTCCCTCTTGCTCAGAGACAGTAAGGGCCAAAAGCACAAAAAGCAAAGGGCAACTGGGTTTTACAGTGGGGGAGCCAAGATTTCTATCAGAGATTGAGAAATTTAGGTAATGAGAAACCTGGCGAAAGGAAACTAGGCCCTTAATGCACTGACACAGAAAAATCCCTCCCTCTGTATTTTATGAGTTTACTATTTTTATTTTCCCCAACTGAAATAATTTTAATGCAAACATCCCAGGCCGGGAGGAAGAAATCATCTTTGTAGTTGATGCTGTGTTATTCCATCGGCTGTGTTTTACTTTTTGGTTTTCTTTCCCCCCCTGCTCCTGGTGTTTACTGAGGTTGAGGGACAATGGATACAAAACTGTAGGTATTACCAAGGACAGCTTACAGAAATTCAATTTATAGTTATTTTGTGTTTTTTTCTCAAGATTCAAATCACCAAGAAATTCATGATTAAAAATGCAAAATGGGTAGAATCAGAGCTTGAATTATTGGATGAGACTCTGTTCTAGAGGATGTGAAAACATCCTCCCAGACTGCCCTGCCTTATCCTGCTCCCAGACGTTGAGCAGACTGAACTCTCCTTTCCTCCGCTGTATTTCCCCTCCGTGGGTCTTAGGCAGAGTGAACACTCATTCTCACTAAATACACAGACAGTTGCAAACCCCAGTCAGCGTCCACCCAGTGCAAACAAGTAGTCTCAGGGGTGTTGAGCATGTCGCCTGGACCGACATCTTTCATCATCACATCCAGCCATGGCCACACCATGAAATACTTGCTTTCGTCCACCAAAGGCTCCTCTCTCCCCAGGTAAAGCCTTTAGGCTGCCTTCAGAACTATTTATCTATTTTACCTTCAGAGTTAGATCATAAATGCGGAGAGGATGCAGACTTTTCTGTAATTGCTTTCCATTGCTTTGTATTTAGTAATATCACGTACATCTTTTCCACATCAGCCATCATAGCTTTCTAGTGTTCTACAGAGTTCTGTTAAATGGCTGTATTACAGTTAATCAGTGAGTTACTTAGAATATTTAGTATTTTTTATCTTTACAAACAATGCAGTGATAAACATCCTTTTAGGTAAATCTTACATACTTGCTATTATACCAGTAGGAGACATCTTAAGAAATGGAAGTTGTTGGGTCCAAGGAATATACCTTTTTTTTTCCTGTGGATTCCAGGCCTGTTTTTTGTTAATGGATACTTCATATTTCAGTGTAATATACAGAAAAGTGCATAAATCATAATTGTATAGCCTGATAAGATTTCACAAAGTGAACACACCTGTGTAAGCCACCCGAGAATCAGAATATTACCAGAAACCAGAAGCTACTTTCACGCTTTGATGTCCTCAAGGCCCAGTCCTAACAATCTCAGCCAAACACATGGCTTCTGTTACCATGTGTACGCCTATGACTCTAAAATTTATATCTATATCGCAGACAGTTTCTCTGAGTCCTGTATATCCAGCCTGATCTCATCACCTGAATGTTTCAAAATTCAATGTCCCCAATTGAACAATCTCTTCTGTTCCCAGTTGCCACAGAGCTGGTGCTGTCTCAGGGTTTCCTGTCTCAGTGAAAAGTACCACCGGGCACGGGGCTCACAACATAGACACCCAGGAGTCATCCTTGACCATCCTCTCTCATCAGACCCTACAGCACAAAGTCCTGACATCTTTTCCTGCTTTATAGCTCAGTGATGTTCACTCTCACCATCATCATTGCCAGCATTCAAATCCTCGGTAAATTTGGATAATCGCTTGCTCAGACTATTGCAATAGCCTCACAGCTGATCTCCAAACAGCATGATACTCGGCCTAAAAGTCTTCAACGGTTTATGTATTACACTGAAGATCCGTGAGTCAGCATTAAGGCCCTTTGCTGATCCAGCCCCTTCCTGCTTCTTGAGTGTCTTTACTCCTTGCCCCCTCTTTCTTTCCTTACTCCAGAATGGCTCCACATGTTTCTTAAAAGGGTCAGAAACAAGGTTGAAGGTCAAACAACTTTATCTAAAAGGATTATTTGGAAGACAAAGGCAAAAGAAATAAGGTTATAGATGCAATTTGGTAGGAGAAAAAATACTTTTTCCTCTAAAATGTCGAAGTATGGAGTCTATTGTTGGGATGGGGGTGGAAAATTCAGAAAGCATGAGATAAAGGAATAATTGCCCTCATACAGTTCCAAGCTGCTTAAGAGGCCAATTAGCATAGTAATGAACAGGACAGGCTTCAGACTCTGACGAACTCAGGCTCTGTCTGGACTTAAAGTCTGCATGACTTGTGATGAGTCATAGGACCTCTGAGTCAGAATTCCCACAATGAGATAGGTTATACACACACACGCACAAATACACAAAAATATACATAATTCGGCATAATTATCAGCACGTAGTTAAATGCTAAGTAAACAGTAGGTATATTATTACTAGGAAGAAAAACAAGGCAAAAGGCTCTGATAATGATGCCATGTACCAGATGGGAGTAACCTACGGTTAATCAATGCTAGTTAATGAGTATCCCTGCGGCAGAACCTAGACCATATTCTCCCAAGAGAGTTAGGGACTCCAGTTCAAGCTCTTCCCTCTGGCGCCAAGAATAAGTCTCCAGGTAACCAGGGCTCAGGATGACCTCAGCATATATTCACTGCCAAGGAGTCTTTTTTTTTTTTTTAATGAAGCTCTCCTTCAGCCAGTTTGTTTACTTTTCTGAAGACTAAACACTTAAACTTTAGATTTCCTCTTACCTTTGTAGTTGAGATTAATGGGACCTCCATGAGATAAGAAACCAGTATTTTCTATATGGCTGAGTCAACCTTATCCAGACCAGACGAAGCCAGCCATTGTGTTTGTCCCTGCTTTTCTGCCGATGGAAGCACACAGCTTGTGATGTTTCTCTCTTCCTTTACTGCCCTTGAAAGATATGCATACACAATCGGAACCCAGATTAAAAAAAAAATACTGATAAGGCTAAAAGACTACTGAGAGCGTTGATTTTATTGTCTAATCATTGAAATCTCCTTTACAAAAAAGGTACGTGATTTAGTGAAAAAAAAAAAAGATAGGTTGAAATCAAAATAACACCATTCTGGCTCAGCCTCTAGCACTGATTATATAATCTTGAAGTCATTTATTTTCTTTGGTCCTCAAATCTTCATATGTAATGAGAGAGTTAAAGCTTATTATCTTCTCAAAATTCTGAGTATATAGATATGCATACGGAAAACATGAAAAAGATGTAAATATATGTGTGTATGTATGTTTATATGTGTTTGCATATCCACATTCACATCTTAGTTTCTCAAGAGAAAGCAGATTATAAACGAGGGTTAGACCAGAGTAGGTGACAAGTAACATCCAGTCTTATGTGGACATCATCTGTTTCTAGCTTTTAAAATGCCCATTTCTTCATTTCTCAAGGCAACTGAGAATTGGGAAATTGCTGGAAATACAAATTCTCAGGCCTGACCTCAGACGTACTGAATTAGGGACTGCGGGGAGAGGCTCAGCCATCTGTGTCGCCACCTGCCCCCACCCCCTGGCGATGCTGAGGTGCACTATAACGTGAGAATTGCTGCATTCACACATTCCCAGGGGAGAACTACCGGCTGGAGTCCTAGGCAGAAGTGGAGAGGCAGTAAGTAAAGGGGAAATAAGCAGGATATTCTACAGAGAACTTGGGTCACAGGTGGCAGGAACAGAGTTGGGAGAGACGGAGTAGTGGGGCCAAGGGAGGGTTATTTATGGTCGGAGGGAGCCGGCGCGGCAGTGAGAAAACAGAGCAGAAGCCCAGGCAGCAATACAGCAGTAGCCACATGCCCCCGTGTTAAATCATTGGTTCTCATGGAATCATTTCTGCTCCTGTGCTAAGACCTGCTGGCTTAGAACCTTTTTCCCAAGGTGGATTCCAAAAGAGGATAATCAGCCCGTGTGTAGCCATGGCTATCTCTGACCCTTACAGTTATTACCGCAGAAACCTGAGATGCGGAGAGTTACAACTTCTCAGCCTAACCCTGCAGGTCTTCTCCAGGCCCTTTGCAACACCTTGAGAGTCTCCCGATTCCAGTTTTAATTCTTCTCTCATTGGCAACTACGGAGTGTGTGTATATTCAGAAAAAAAAGGAAGAAAATTCCCAGAGTTTCAACGGGCTAGAGCTGAACTTGCCCAGAGAGAGCTGCTGGGCTGAGAATAAGCCTATGAAAGCGACAAGGCAAGAACTCGGCGTGGATGCTCCGCAGGAGGCTGATGGACGACACGTTGTCATCCAGGACGTTGCCCTGACAGGGGAACCCCCGGCTCTGCAACTTCCTGGCCAGCGTGAGGGCCACCAGCCGGCTATAACCCTTCTTGCGGTGCTCCGGCAGGGTGTAGCCATGGCACATGGTGGCAAACTGGTCTGTGATAGACCAAGAGACGGGGTTGCCCTGGTCATCCCGAACACACACGCTGGGGAAGCAGGCGATGAGGCTGGCGATGTACCGGCGACACTGTTCGTTGCCGCCCCGAGACCAGGTCCGGTTGAGCAGATCTGCATCGGCAACGCTCAGGTAGGTTAGTTGTGGGGAAGGCCTCATTCTAGAAGAAAATGACATGCGAAAATATAGGAACTTGGGGGTCACGTGACCGCAAACAACTCCTTCTCTGGTTACAGTGATTCAAACTGAGAAATCGCCCCCAAGACAGCGCCCAGCAAATACCAAAATATTTTCAATGAAATAAAATCCATCACTCATCACTTATAAACAGCTTTTAGGGTTTCGTTTCTGATAGGACAAAATCCTTATTATATTAAGTTTAAGTCTTTCCTTCTAATTTTATGCCTATTTCTTACTGTTCTCAGAATAACATCCAGCATTTCAATTTTTTCTGTAAAACAAACCTCAGACTTATTCTTATCAAGCCCTGAGTCTGTCAACACCCTCCCCAAATCCTTGAACAAGTCTGGATCCCTGGGCCCCCAATCTTTTCCTTGGCAAAAATAAACACTTAAGGATAGACCTATCTTTATGCACCTGTGGCCAGAAAAGAACTAGAACTGCTGAACTTCCCAGGCTTGTGCAGGTGCTCAAGAAATGCTAGCTCCTCCAGACCTTTTCCTAAAAGCTCTGGGGAAAGGTCTAAAAACCCATGGTATTAAGAATTTAAAAAAATAGAAATTAGTGCAATTTTTAAGAACTGAGATGATTACCTACTTGCAAGTCTATGGGGCTGGTTGTCTTTCAGAACTGGCTTTCATTCTTGAAGTTCTCAATGTCCTAACACCACCCTCAGTTAAGAGGCTGGTAATATTCTCACTAGGGCCCCCTTTACAAAGTACAGGTTTGTGTTTTCTCTTTACTAGTGGTTCTGCAGTGTTAGCTCACATTCCAGGCATTCCGTGGGCTCTGGCACTGGGCCAGCCATCTAACCACTGAGCAGGGGTACAAAATAAGTAAATATAAGTGATAACTGGCTTAATATGATTTTTAGTTCAGTTCTTGAAAATAAACTTCAAAAAAATAAAAAAAGAGAAGCCTCAGGCAGAAATGTCACTGCAAATAAAAACCCTTCTGGGCACACATTTCAGGAGTGATACTACAGACTATGACCTTGTATGTGAAGGGCGGGTGTCCAAGACAAAGAGTGTACAAATATGGGTAATGACTTGGATGTTAAAGACAAACTGGTTTTAAAAAGCCTGACTTGGGAATAAAAGAAAATGATGCATAACATCTCAGGGATATGACAGTAAATAGACTATGGGAAACTCTAAAGGACAAATAGGAAATTTTTTTCTTCAACAAAAGGTAACGTAAGACATAAAAAAGATAAAAGGGGAACCTATATGTCGAAAGGAAGTTAAGAGAGATACTAACTGACTGCAATGTACAAACCTTATTTAGATGTTTCCTCAAAACAAATAAACTGCTAAAAATATTATGATAATCTGGGAAATGTGACTACCAACAGGTAATTTTAAGTAAACGATGTTAACAAAAATTTAAGGGGTTGTGCAGACTAGAGTTAACCCAGCAGGCTTGCCACTACTTTCAGGAACACCTGCTTACCATGTGGGCCTCGGCTAGTGCCTGGCGGTCTGGATTTCTGGAGGGGACCTGCAGGTCCCAGAACTGTGAGGGTGGTCAGCTGAGCCTGGCTGTTCATACCATCAGTGTAACTTACACTGAACACCTGCCTCCCTTCTGGGAGTCGAGCAAATTGGTTTATGCTCTACCTACCTCTGTTGTCACAACTCATCGCTGGAAAAATCGCACGCCTCCTCTGGGAAGCCCGTGCTTGGCTTCCTCTGGACTCTGCCAGCCCGCCTTTTCCCCTTTGCTGATTTGGCTTTGTACCCTTTCAGTGTAACAGATCACAGCCTGGACTGTGTAGGTTAAGTCCTGTGAGTCCCCCTAGCCAGTCACTGAGCCTGTGGGTGGTCTTGGAGACCCCTGACACAGAAGTGATATTAGTACAGTGCTTTTTTTTCTTTTCTTTTTAAAATTCTGATCTTCTGGAGATATATACTGAAATATTTAAGAATAATGGGGAAATGTCTGAGACATTTCCTTTAGAATAATCCAGAGGGTAGGAAAGATAGGGGTCTGGATAAAAGTTTCAATCTTGTACTTTTGGGATGGGTTTTATATACGTATATATCTAATAAGCACAAGCTTGGTTGTATTTTTTAACAACTCAGGTTATGGGAAAATGTTTTGTCAAAAAGGCTCTAGTTGCAGGAATTGGACAAAGCAGAAACAAAATCGAGAACTGCGTTATTTTGTGATTAAAAAGGGCAAGTATTTTAGATAATAAAATATATTGATGGAGGTTTATTATATTAGTCTCTCAACCTCTGTATGGGTTTGAAAATTTTCATAACTGAAAAAAAATTAAATGAAATAAACAAAAAGTCCAGCCACTTAATGTGACTTAAATTCTTCTTTAGATTTAGTCTTGTTTTGCTCAATAATCCCTTCAACACACAGCACAGAAGTGAAGAAAACTAACATTCACTGAGGTGGGTACTTTTCAAGTACCAGGTTTCACTTGCTTACAAAAAACGTGAGGCAGATACTATAAGATTAGTTTTCGAGGAGAAATTGATTAAGGATCGAAAAGGTTAAGCAAAAGGGTAGAGAACTAGTAAATGACAGAGTACGGAGCACAAAATCAGAAGGAAAAGAGAATGCAGACATAAACTGATCCATGTTTTGAAGAACTGGATTCTGGAGTCAGATCATGGGCTTATTTCCTGGCTCTACAGTTTAGTCCTATGTGTTACTTCAATTCTGTTCAAAAACAGAATAATAATAATAACATTGCTTGTTAGGGGTGTGAAAAGGATTCAAGAGGTACCATATTTAAAACATTTTAGTGCCTGGCACCTAAGAGGCAAGTCAGTCAGTTATGCACTTTCATCCCTGAAACAACAACAAAAACAAAAAAACAGCAGCAACCACCTTGGGCTCAGACAACAGAGGTTATTAAGAATTATTTGAGGGAGGGAGATATGCAAGAAATTATTTTCCTGTGTATTCTGTCAAAATACAAGACTCCCTAATTCAGTTGTTACTGTGGACACAGACACTGATTTGATTTTGCATGAAATTATGCGCAAACACCGTAGAAAGGAAGAGTAAACACACACACACACTCAGCGCCCCAAACCCAAGATGCCAAAATATTCCTTAATGATACTAAGTATTCCAAGTGCTGCTTTTTGTATTTCTGTAGCAGTAAGTTCTCCCCCAGATGCAGAAACTTGGTTTACATACCGGAACCTGGTGTCTGGCAGAGTTGCCACCGGAGACAAGCGAACGGCCTTGAAGGAAGTCTGCTTTACATCCAACTGCTTTGAGCTGGCAACGGCTTTGGAAACATCGCATAACTCACTCTGCAGCCCTGTATGTGGAGACACGTAATGAAAAAGGTGGGCATTTGATTTGAAAATTCAAAAAAGGAAATTTGTCGCGGTGTTTTTCTGCTCAGTATCATCAATGTCACCAGTTTGCCACCTTGGATGATCCTAGCAGCTCTGTATTTACACATGAATTATTACAGCTACTCCCTGTCTGATTTTCAAACTTTGTGTGGGATTTTCAAATTTCCGTTGTGACCATGATCTTCCGTGGAGATTTCTGAGGGGAATATCCCTTAAAAATTTGTAAGTTCCTGTGGGAATTTTGACTCTTCTGACTTCTCAGATTGATCTTAAGCTCTTCAAAGTAAGAGACATTTGCTAGTTCTAGAAGTGTAGAAGAGCTCAGATGTATCTGGCATGGCAATCTGACTTTAAAGACTCTCTCCCAGCCTCTTGCTTAAATGCCCACTGCAGAAATATCAAGCATACTCTTAGCACTGGTGAGATCCTGAACTCACCCAGCTCCCTCTCATTTGCCACAGCTACACGTACTACCTGTAAACCCTCGTCCGCGCTTGTTGGATATGAAGCCCTGCGCTGGGCACTGCTGTGCCGCAGGACACAAGAACCAGGGGTCTCTGTTCCGACAGAGCTCACAGCATGGCCGGGGAGCATCTGATCACTTGGAACTGACTTCTCTGCTTCTCCAACCCTCCCATCTGCTCTGTCCTTTCCAGTCTGGCTCCTGGCTGATGGAATCCTCTGGAAATTGACTTTCCCACTTCCTTCCATATCTAATGGCTTGTTTCCTTCTTCTGAAGAACACATGAGTGGGAGGTCACACTGAACACAGACGGTGCTCTGAGCCTTGGCTCCTTCCTTGGGGAGTCAAGTCTAGGAAACGATTCGTAGATCAGTTGATTAGCTCTTTCCAGAATCATTTGCTTTAGAAAGAAGAAAAGGCTTACCTATTGGCTTAGACTTAAGAGTTACTCTGAAAGACTGTGATAGGAAAGAGTTAAGAATAATAAAGATAATAAGCAAAAATATGCTGTTAAACTCACTGATGTCCATATTATAGTAACAGTGGGGGAAAAACATCACTTAAAGCAGCCCCATTTAACTGGTCTCTGCCTACCTCAAAGGCCAAGCCTCATTAGGTGTACAAAATAAGTGTTCTTACAAAACTGTAATACATAAGCCATAAATACATAAAATGTATGCCTATGTATTTGTGCGTATGTGTGTGTGTGTATATTATATATATACATATATATATACACATACATGTGTGAAATATGTTGTATTTACTTATTTGATAGATATGACAAAAAGGAGGGGAAAAAATGCCCGCCTAATATTTTGCACTTGACCCACCTTGTATTTGAAAAACTTGGTCCCAGTTGATGACACCCTGTTCTTCCAACAGCTGTTGGCAAGCCCTGACATCCTTGTAGAACACAGCATAGGCGTTAGTATAATGGTCCAGGTTATCTGTCTGAGCCTAGGACAGAAGACATAGACATGCCCTCTGGGGCTCTCAGCTATCTAGGATCTGAGTTACACACATCTAGACAGTTCCCCGGTACCAAAGTTAGCCACCTAGAAACAACGGCTCAGTGGGAATGTGGCAAATGTACTGTAGTGAGGGAAAATAACAGACACTTTGGGACTTTTGTTGATTATCTTCTAATATTAGGGATGTTTCAAAGACAGTTACTTCACATTGTTCTAGGATTTTATTTATTTTTAAAAATAAAAAGGTTGTAACTCAATGGGTCCACCTACGAGGGAAAAACGCAGAACTCTCACAACTTTGCTGATGAGGCCAGGACAGCACATCTGTGATCGCTTGAGCGTCTCTTTGGTCTCAGAGGCAGAATGGGGAGAGACGCTGTCTTTTTCAGCCTTTTTCCATATTTACCCACATGAGCAAAGGCATCATTCATAAGGAATCATCGACCCAGCAGACAAACTGGTGTGTACCAGCACGTATGCTTCGTGCTTCCAGGGATTATGAAACCCTGAAGAAACACTACTGAACACATTTAGACTGGAGGTTTCCGTATGTCTGATACTCCAAAGCCAGTCAAATTAGAAGCTAATGGTGAAGTATGTAGTGTGTTATGATGGTTGTAACATCCCCTTTACCTAATTTTTTCTTTCCAGTAGATGCCAACTCTTTTTTTTTTTTTTTTTTTCCTTTCAAAACTGTACCTCTTTCTGCCGCCGCGTGATGACAGCTTTGAAGTTGGGCCATGAATCCAATACCACTTCCTTCTGAAAGGGATTGCCACGATTTATGTTCATGACTGCTCCGTAAACCTGAGTCAGGGAACCCAGAGGACACGCCAGTCACACTACTAACCCAGTCACATTACTGACCATTTCGGTTGCATATTACCCTTTTCTCTCCTTGTTCTACTGCATAATCAGGGCCACGCGGGGAAATTATAGATGTGTATATACTCAACATACAGGTACAGACGTCTCCCTTATTATTTCATCAGTGCACATGAAAATTGGTATAATGTCTCTAAAGCCTATGAAAATTCTCTCCAAACTTAGTTTTTTACAGTACAATGGTGAGAGGTACCAAATCGACCGGCTTACTAGATGCAGGCTTGGCACAGAGGTCAGCAATAATTCTTACTGAATGAATCAGAATCTAATGTACGGATTTAGCGCTCATCTACCTTTTAAAAATTTCACAGATGATTTTGATGCTCAGCTGCTTGTGAAATTTATTCTACTATCTGAAAATAATCTGTGAAATGCAAGGACTCCTTCGACCCTAAATTATAATTAAACATCCCTTGAGAGTGAAACACCACCCCCTGGGGTAAAAAAGGAGCCAACAACACACCCTGCATTTCAGGTTTGATGGAGCAAGGCTCCACTAGCATCCCCTGAGGGTTGTAACTATGTCTTGTTCACTATTGCACCCATGGAGTTGGACAAAGCTGATCAAATGCTTGTTGACTAAATAATCCTGAAGTAACATTAGAATTCTGTTCTGTGCCCTTTCACGTTTTTTTCTCCACTAAGAATCAAAAAGATGTCTGTCCTAGGAAACAACTTTCATGTGCTGTATGTGTGCTTATAGAGAAGAGAAAGTTGTGGTGTAAATGAGGCCAGTGTTCATAGCAGCACTTTCATAATACTGTAGACAGAAACTGCAGACAATCTAAGGGTCCATCAACAATCAACAGAGGAATGGTTAAATAAATTGTGGCTTATTCGTACTGTGGACGATAAAACAGCAATATAGTGTTGAGTCAAAGGAGCTAGGTGAAAAAGATAATTGTTGTGTGATCCACTTGATAATACATTCAAAACCAGGCAGAATTAAATTATGACTTTAGAAGTCAAGATAGTGGTTACTTTTTGGGAACAGGGAAAGGTAGTGACAGGAAAAGAGCAGTGGGGGGCAGGAAGCAAAGGCGTCAAAAAATGTTCTTTCTTGACTGGAGTAGAGGTTACACAGATATTTGCTCTGAGAAAATTCACCGAGCTGCATCATTATGTTATGTGCATTTTCTAGTGTTATACTTCAATGAAAAAAAAATTTAAATTATAGAGGCATTGGAACCTACATTTTACCTCCTTTCTCTCTCTCATAATTCAAATCACTCATCTCAATGCCTAGAATATTATCCAGCGGTCTTCTGTCTTACCCAGCCTGGGCCTCCGCTCAAATCTTCCCATAGAATGTATCGTTCCAAAGTTAGTCTGGCTAATACTAATGTGTCACATGGATCCCACGAAGTGAAAATCCATGAACTAAAGTAACCTGGGAGGGTCATGCTTGTTCTGCTAATCATTGAATTATGCAGAGTAATAAGTTTATCACAATGATTTCACAAGAGGAAAGCATACATCCTTATTCAAGAATAAAGCTTAAATAAGACTAAAATGTTCATAAGGTTAAAAGGAAGAAACTATTAACAATATTCAGATTCTTTAAAAAAAAAAAACCACCCAAAACATAACTTGTTTGTGAAGGATTGGAACCAACTGAAAGATTTGGCATTGGTTAAAAACAAAGTAACCTTTCGAATAGCTGTTTATCCAAAGGGTGAGTGTTGAGAGGAGACAGGAAGTGGCCAGAGGGAAGTAAAGATGCTGGAGGAATGAGCAGTCAGTGCTTGTGAAGGAAATCTGGAGGGATATTTAATCACTTAAGCACGAGGGAGAAGTGAACAACAAAACTATCTTTTCTTTACCTTTTTTATTCTCTAAAGGACACAGTGTTTACCGAAAGGGTGTTTTGAAACTATAGTCAAAGAACAAAACCAGGCATTACATAACAATGCAATACTTGAAGCAGGATAAAGAGGTCCAGGGATAAAGAGACTCAGTGTATGAAAAATGAGAAATTGGGAATACATTACAGAGAAGGTTACATGAGGAGAGCATCGGTTTGTGCCTACGTGTTTCGTTTCTTTAACTCTTACTTCAAATGGTGTTATGAGAGGCAAACATTTCAAAAGAACACTCAATTTGGAATCTGATAAGCTGGATTTAAATTTGAACTCTAGCACTCAGACATGGGGAAGTGACTTCGTTATACCATCTGTAAAATTGTAATATAAATATCTGCCTGTTCAGAGGTATTATTATAGTGGGATTCATATTAGTTTAAAAAAAGTTTTTTATTTTCAGGGGAGGAGGTAATTAGGTTTGTTTGTTTATTTTTTTGTTTGTTTGTTTATTTATTTATTTATTTATTTATTTATTTATTTATTTATTTATTTAATGGAGGTACTGGGGATTGAACCCAGGACCTCGTGCATGCTAAGCATGCGCTCTACCATTTGAGCTATACCCTCCCCCCATATTAGTTTTTTATGAAGTTCAAATGAGATGGTGTGAAATATATTTTTAAAAATTATACATAGTATTTAGGCCAAGTCAGCTAGTCTGAACTCAGAAATCATCTTAAAAAATAAGATTTGAATAGGTAGAGAATTAATAAGTAATTACTGTTGAAAGCTTCCAGGGTCCAATCAGCAACAATTTATTGACGAGGTTATTATGGGCAAAACCCCATGCCAAGCATTGTAAGAGAGATTAAAAAAAAAAATCAGCATCTCTACCTGGGTACCTGGGAGCTAAGTTGCTTGTGGGAAAAACAATAGACATGCAATCGAAAGAACTGAGATTTAACTGCTTCTTTATTTGCTGCATTATCTTCTTTCAGCTTCAATGCATTCATTTATCAAATGGATTAATAAACATTTTACAAGGTTGTTGGACGGATACAAAAATGGAAATTCTCTGTATGCTAAAGTACTATCCAAATATAATATTTATAACCTGGGGGCCCATCTTTGTCTTGATGATTATAATCTCTTCTGTGATCCTGAGAAGGTCACTGAAATCTTTTCAGTTCTCTGTGGCAGAAAAGTTAGCCAAATATGTCGTCAAAGCAAAACAGCCTACCATCTTATTCCATCTATTCAACGCAGTGTCAGCATTCAAAAATAGGAAAATTTCGGTCTATTAGGCACTTTTCTAGGCATATGATCACCAAATTATCACTCAGATTTTCCCTACCACATACAGGTTAAGCACTATTAATAAAGCAAGATGAGCAGATTTAATCGACCCAGTATGGTACACTGGAGGACTTTCTCTAGATCATTTTGGTTCACATTTTAGTGTAAATAAGGATTTTCCAGGGTGTCTGTGAAATATACAGGTCCCCGGTCTTTTTGTTCAGAAATTATGGTTCACTATATCTCTTCTGGATTATTGGCACACCACTTATATTTGAAAATCACTGTTACAGGGCTTTCTCTTTGCTCGAGAAACTAAGCTCTCAAAGACAATTTCACTGCATTCTGCATTTTTTCTCCAAGTGTTGAAAATATTTCTAATCTTACATTTATTTATAATCTTTGATTAAATGTCAGCTTCCCCAGGAGCTCTGAGTTACAGTAGACCCTCATGGACTTTTAGAAGGCTTCAACCGACAGTGGCTCGATGATCAACAAAACCAATGGAAAAACTTTCAAAATAAAGATCTTGCAATAAACAGAAAAAAAATTTACAGCAACTCTGAAACTTCAGTTCCACTGTGCACCTAGGTTACGTTCTTACCAGCAATGCCACCCACTATACCCTCCTCCATTTAAAAAATTTTTAGAACTCAAATTTACCTTAGAAATAGTCCAGTCCAACATTACCTAACTTCTCCTAGGAGTCATCTAAAGTGGCTGTCAAGAATATAATTGTCTGAGCCATATCCATAATCCATTGAATCAGTCTCTAGCAGAAGACTGGGAAGCTATGATTTAACAAGGGCGCCCAGAGTCTTACCATCAGAAAAACTGGGGAAACAGCTACACGCCTGACGTTATTTCACAGATTAATAACATAAAGAAAGATAAAACCCTTACATTTACAGTACCTTGAGTGATTCAGGAAAGTGACTCTTCAATATTTTTTCCAGGATCAGTAATTTGGTAGAACAGCTTAGCACCAACATTTTTTCGGAGCTCCAGTAATTCCACGCCTAACTAAAAACGGGAAGGGATACATTTGATTTTTGCCCGTTAACATTTAAATCTAGCTAGCAAGATCCTCGAAGCCCTGTTTTCACTGAGTGTTGTCTGAATCCATGGCTTCCTCTGAAGAGGGAAGGAAGGAAGTAGGGAGGCCCTGGGGCAGATAAATCAGAACACATGGAAATGGAGAGGATGTGAGTGTCTATACTGGGTTAAGTCTTCCATTATCCACATTCACTGTACCTTAAACTCTTCCTTCAGGACACAATAACAGTTGTAATTTTTACGATTATTTGTGTTTTCTTTGATTTAAGCCTGTCTTAAGCCTG